AACCTACTCCTCTGGTTTGCAACCACCAATTAACAGTTTCTTTCTTTAAGCCTGATGGTTTTAGGAACTGATTGTACAGCTGTAATGCACAACTGGGACTGCTTGGCACCAAACACTGTGTTTTGGCCCACATACCCTGACTGTGCTATAAGAAGCAAAGGTGTCCTGAAAAAGAATTTTCATTAGTACTGTGTTGTGAAATCTTCACTTCTAGAGTCAAGAAGTCAATATATATGGCATTACATCTTGAGTAAATAAATATTTGCCATGAGTGTTCATGACTGAGAGATGAAACTTAAACTCCACTAAATAATCATTACTTCCTTCTTCCCCAGGAGAGGTGAATCAGAGAAAATGTTCTTTCCCCCCCACCTTCATGTTCATGAAAAGAAGTAGCTTCTTCAAAACTGTAGCAGTCCAGCAAGAAGAAAGGATGAAGATGGTATTGTTATGCTGCCTAACTGCAGCAGTTTACTGTTAGAAAAAAATAAAGCATGAAAGCTGCTTGAAGAGACAACCATAAGAAAGAAACACAATGGTCATTCTCTACCTTCACATTCAAAGTCAGAAATGTTCTGAAACAACATCAATGTAATTTTTTAACTATTTAAAATGCTTTGTTTAAAATAAGTAAACAAATTTAAGTGTTCCTTTGCACAGCACACTTCTCATTGCATTAAAGTTAACACATTTCTTACCTTTTCCTGAACTTTGCCTTAGTTAGTTTCCCTCCCTAAGTTTCCAACTGCGCTCCTAAACAGAATTATTGCCCAGAAACCTGGGCTTGACCAAACAGTTTGGCAGAGGATTGATAACAGGACTCAAAAGACAAACACCAGGTTTCCATTCCCATCATCCTGTGTCCAATCAGACACTGAATCAATCCTCAAATTTAATTTATAGATAACTAAGGACTGGTGCAAACTGTGCACCATCAGTGAAATTCTTCTTTCTTACCTGAAAGTTCTCTGTGTTATGGACAGGCTAAGAAGAGATGGCTCAAAGCCACAATGCCAGTCTTGTGTCACATTACATTGCTTCAGGATTTCCAACTTTATCTGTTCTCTAAGGGCTCTAAGAGAGAGTTTTACCTCTATGCAGCAAATAGTCACCACCAAAATATGAATCAAAACTTATCTTTAGAATCCTTCTAATGGAAATTATACTGCATACCATAGAAAATACTGCTATAATACACGTTTGTGAGGAGAAAGAGAACAAAAGAAAAAAGCCAACACAAAACTGGATATTAAGGTAATAAGCATGTTAGCTTAGATTAACACCTCATTTCTCCAGTTGGGCCAGAGTGTGACAGACAGCACACAAACTGAGATGGGTTTGAAGAAAGGATTAAGGGAGCAGGCAGTAGTTGGCATTGCAGTTTTGGGTATATGTGCTTCACACAGATGTGAAACCACAGAAGACAATACTGAAGGCCTTAAAACTATGTCACTGAAACCTCAAGTTAATAAAAAAATTCTGTCTTCAAGAGCTGCAATAGACAGAAACAACTTTAAAGCTGGCACATGTTCTGTTTTATGACAAGGACAACTCCATTGTTTAAAATAACACTAAGCTAGAAACTCTATGCATCAATGTAGCTCAGATTCATCTAATACTACAGGTTCAGAAGCTGTTTTATGTTACAGCCTGTAACATTCAGCTGTGGACTGCAAAATTATATATAGTGTACTAAGGTAGCAAATAAATAGCTAATTAAGAAAAATGGTCAAAACATTTTAATAACAAAATTTTTCATTTTGCTTAGCCAAGTTTTCCTCCATGGTTTTATTAAAAACCAAAAAGACTAAAGCCTAGTTTGCTGAAGACAGTATAAAGATTTCTTTTCCTGAAGAATCTTCCAAAAGGAGTTTTATAAGTTGGAAATTCTTTGAAAGTTCTGATGTTTTTGACTTTACCTGAATAACCCCAGTAAAACACTGACTAATACTGAGAACCGTGAAAATGATCCTTCCATGGTAAATATTAATTTGTATGGTCTATTAAAGAAGAAAGTGACTTAAGAGATCAAAAGATTAAATTTCCCACATCTCTTTGTACTCCTCCCAACTATCAACCTGCCAGCAGACAGTACATAGTGCATACCACTGAAATCTATGCTTTAGGCTAATAGACTGTTGGCATTCTGGATACTGGTTTGAATCTATCCAGCTTCTGCTTGGAAAATTCATCTACACTATCTCCTGTCACAAGCAGGAGAAAAAAAATAGCTAAGCAATGAAAAAGCTAGAGAATACTGTGGCAGCTGATTACTGCCACAGTTCTCAAAATTTCCCAATTTTCAAAATGTGCAAAAATTTCCACATCTTTTTTTTAATCCAAAAACTCCTTATTCAAATACCAAATTATTATCATCTGAATTCTTAATTTCTTTCTGAAATGCTGGCATAAAAAAACACTGGAAAACCATAGAAATGCAAAATTTTACTTACTTGAGAAAATACATTTTATAACCAAATAAATGATATCACAGTACAATGAGCTGTGCACCTGAAATTCAGTATTAATAAAGCTAGTGGATCTGTGAAAACAGAGGATTAGAATCCTCTGACATGAATATGCTTTGAGGATAAAAAAGAAGTGGAGATTAATTTCTTCTCCCTCTTCACAAGGATCTAGCATGTTTGCCTTCTGCATTCCAGAGCTTAGCAGAGCTTTGCAGCTGTACAAATAATTTTTTTCTATTCTCTTAACAGGCGTTCCAGATTCTTTATTTGTTCTGTACTATTATGCCAGGTAACAGCAAGGATAATGATGCTCCACCCTTTGACCATGAAAGGAAGAAAGCATAATTCACTTACCTGGGAAAATGGAAAGGACAGCCAACTGTAATTAAATGCAACCAATCAGGCCTAATTAAAGGAGATGAGACCAAACTGGAGTGTACTCTTTTACCATGAAGTTTAGATGAACAGCTATACAAGAAACAAATAAAGCCTACTCCTGTGAGGTTTGTCAACCAGCATTTCACCTAACACGCTTCAAAATGATATGGATTAAGAAGAAAAGGACTGCTCTAAGGCCTCAGAGCTGCAAATCTGTAATTCCATTAAAGCATATGATCATTAAAGCACGTTTATGGAAGATAAAAGGGCGAATTAATCACCTAAAATCTATTGCAAACTTATGCTTTATTTTTACTTCATTACATCAACACATCAGAGTCAAAACTAAAAGCTCCACTGTAAAAGGTAAAATGGTCTTTCCTGAGAAGTTCACAATTCAAATAGATGAGATGGAAAAAGCATGACATAAAGGAAGATGATCTCTACTTGATAACAAAAATGAAGCACACTCCAAGATCACAGGGAAATAAATTAATTTAACTAAAAACTGAAGCTAAATTTCTTGAACTACCCCTTCTTTGTGACGTTGCTACATTTCAGGTTTATTAGCCACATTAGGAGATAACAGCTCCCGGGAAACTGTCATAGAAATGGGATGTAAGTGAAAATACTCTAAATTCCTACAGAATCACACCAAGGCAGCAATTCGCTGAAGACAGAGCTCAAAGCAAAGAACTCAAAGTCTGTATTAACCAGTGCCCTTCTCCCAGTATTTTATGTATTACTGCTCCAGATCTACTTGCTATCTGACATTCAAATGAACAGGTAAGGCAAGTGAAGCTCAAAAAAAGAGTAATTTATCCCAGGATGTATGTAGAGCTTCTTTCACAAAAGCATAACTAAGCATACAGGACTGTTTTCTGTAAGACCCTCAGCATCCAAAAAGCACTGTAATAAGCTTTGGATGTATCTTGTAGCTATAAGATTAAGCACGGTAATGTAGTTTTTATATTCACTGTAGAGAGTTTTTCTCAGCATGTATTACACACTGGATGTCATTTCAGCAGAACATGCATTCTGTCTTGAAGTAATCTAGGTACAATTCAAAGATATGGAACAACCAAACAAACAGCTCTTAAAAATATATGATTTTATATCTTATAGTTTTATGATATTCATTTTCATAGAGACACTTCTTTTTCGCCCTTTATTCACTGAAATGACCTTAAATTTAAAATCAAGACAAAGTGTAAAATGTTCTTTACTCCAATGGTCAGGAAATTCTACCTAATAGATACAGAAGGTTAGTCAGCATCACATGAAACAACTAATTTTTCCTCTCAGATTATTACTGATAATTGCACGGCTCCAAACACCAAGGGGTATAGAACTCCATTTCATACAAAGTGATTATTAATTGTCATATTACTTTAAAGTGTCACTTGTTAACTAATGATAACTGAAATTTTGATTTTTTTTCACAGCTTCTTAAAATTTAATAAAGAACAGCAACCTTTCCCCTAGCACTTGAATGTCTATAATCAAGAACTTTTGCCAAGCTCTTTTTCTTTTGTTTTGCCATCTGACAGATACAGTTGGACATTTAGAGTCATAATCATTTCACCACATTGGAAAGTCCACAATATAAAGTTTCTGTATCATCATAGCCATTCTGGAAAACATGAAACAGAAGAGTGTCAATACTCATATTGCTTTCCTGGCAGTTCATTTCCAGAGTCTTTTCAAACAAACACACTGCTTTCTTGCAGGATTATAATACCATTTATTAGGCAGAAGCTGGTAACATTTGGAACGATATAGAACTACTACTTAACACAAATGCCAAAATGAATAAAGAAAAAAATAATGGGCATGTTGCTGGAAAAAGCTGTAAGGCTTTTCAATTTTTTAATTAAAAAAAATTACATACCAGAAAATGTTAATGAGCTGAAAGTCCCCTGAGTTCACTTTTACATATTCTGTGCTATTTTGACGCCCCTGCTAAAGAAAACTGTTCTCACTCAGAACTGAAGACACTATTTTTTCAACGTCATAGCAAAATCTGAAATCTAAAAGTGTCTTATTTGTCGTGCTACTTTATTCACTTCCTTTAAGCCATTCAGAGTTATCAAACTAGAAGCAGAGAAGAAAAAGTGATCTCAAGTCACACAGTAAGCAAGAATTCAACAATACCTTTAACTTCTTCATAAATGCTATCATCTATTGGTTCACTGTTTGCTTGTCCAACATCATCATATTCCTCTTCCTCCTCAGGAATAGTATTAGATCCTGTGTCTGTAACAGCAGTTTTAAAAGTTAACATTTAGTGGAAAATAATGCCTAAGCAGAAATTTATGCAAAATGAAAACAATTCTTCCATGACCTGCTCCTTCCATTCTGCTTATTTTTTTACACTGTTCAAGGAATAAGAAAGAGTTTATATGAAGGAGCTTGTATAAGGGAGAGCTTTCAAGCTAAATAGTATTCTGGAAGAAAAGCAAAAATCTTTTAAAAAAGAGAAAAGTCATATAAAAGCTGTAGCAATTGAAAACTAGGACTTGCTACTCAAAACTTGGACATGTGGGAATTCTACATGTGCTAACAAAGCAGATAAGTAAATGGACAGAATCACTGTCACCAAGCAGAACTGGCAATAAAGGCAACTGCTCTACTGGCTGGCTTACCTTGAATTACAAATTTGACTTGCTGTACCCATTCCTCTGCTTCCTTGGGAGTGGCAGCTGTAAACTATTAAATGTTTATTAATAACTACTAGCAGTAATGGCAAAAACACAACTACAATTTCATTAGCAATAAAAAAGAGGGAATGTAACATTCCCGTCACTTCCTCAAGAAACCATTAGCAATTCTTTTCATGTCTTCTGGTACTTTTCTTGCAAGGATGCTTCTTATAATGTACAGCTAATTTTGACAAATTTACGTAATTGAAGGAGAGGATGATGGATTTGAAACTCTGATCAGCAGCTGGCAGCTGTGCAGAAAAAAGCTGCTTCTCTTCATCAATGTCAAAGCCAGAACTGATGAACAAAATTTGCCCTTGACAATTAGAAGACACCCATGAATTTCTTTAGACTGCTGGGTACAGTTTTCTTAAAAATGTTCTTGTCAGACTCCAACACACTACCTGACAGCTTAATTAACTGGCTTTCAACCACAATCTCAGATATTTAAAACTTATTAAACTTACATTCCATATTGATGTCTGGCTGATAGATCTCTGAATTGCACAGCTGATATGTGCCTTTTTGTAGGTTTCCTTGAAAAGCCATGACCAATACAATACGTATTTAACACTGATACATATTTTAACCTTTTTTTTTACTATTTAATTCATCCAAGAAATCACAGACACACTATACTATACACAGACACACTATAATAGATATTAAAACGCTAATATTGAAATGACCAAGAGATAAAGATGATAGATTTCCTTGCTCTTGACCAAAAAGATAATATTTGAACATGTACATACATACATTTAATCAGATTTTTTTTCCAACTATATGAATATACAATATAAGCAAGCAAGGGTTTCCTTTTTTCATTAAGATATCAGTGACAGTTGTTTCACTGAAATGTTAATTCAGTAACTGGAATTGTAACAGCTTTGTCAATTAAATTTCAAGTCAACATAAAAAAGTCCAACCTGATAAATGCGCTTATCTGGAGCAGAGATTTCAAAACAGCAATCTTTCTTTGCATCCTTCCGAAGGCTATTATTCATTCTGATGGTGTAGCCCTCTAAGGCAAATTCACCTTTCTGTTGTTTGTCTGTTGGAGATAAAAAACAAAGTTAAGAGTTTCATTTACAACAGTGAATGTAAGTGGCTCAGCAGGTTATCGTTTATTCAGATTTTTGTTTTCTATTTCATGAATTTTACAAAGAACAGGGAGGTTTTTAGCAAAATGATTAAGTGATGCTTCTGGAGATAAAGCTTTATTTTAAGGGAAGATGTACCCAAAAGTACATTTTTCTGTAGGATGCCTAAGGAATTCCACAGGGGGATGTTTGCAGATGGTGGTCTTATTTAGTAAGAAGTGCATGTTATGACACTTGTATCTGGGGAAAGGCAAGAACTGGAACTTGCAAGACACGTTTCCTATAAATCAGTGTCTCTTTCAGGTTCAGTAAACCAATGGGAAAACCTGTCTAGCTCAGAACTTGCTGAGCTCCCTCCTAACTAACCACTTCACTCAAAAAATAAACTTCAAGCTTCTTTTTAAGCAATCGGAAAAGCTGCTTTTCACATTCTGCCACCCACTCCCAGATGTGCCTCCTTTCAACATGGCAAAAATACAGAATTTTATTATAAATTCAGGTGTGTGCATCTGTGTTCATTCCAAAAGCATTTATCTCAAAACAGCAAATGTTTAATTAGCTAATAAAAGTATTGAGCCCTACCACAGTTTATTAGGTATAGCCATGTGGTTGTTTTAAAGACAATTCTACTTTTCAAAGGTTCTGGTTTATAAAAGTATCACTTACAGCAAATCTGACTTTAAATACACTGCATGTTGTGCAAGCAGCACCTGTGCACTCCTTTTGAGCCCTTCAAACCAAATTCTACATCAGATTTTATGTGCTCTGGCATATTTTGGAGAATATTAAAAACAAACCAAAAATGTAAAAGTAATTAAGTTTTGCAATTTCGGCAGATCACAGTGCAGCATTCAAGTGAAGACTGGCATCACAGTTCACATTTTGCACAGGCAAACAAAGAACAAAGTGCAGTTGCATACCAAAAAAATGCCATTTAGTGGGGTTTTTTTACACAGAGGAAAAATGCATTAATTAACAGTAAGCACTAGGCACAGCAGTAAAACTACTTTAAGTATTGCTGAATAGATCTTAGGTGTAAATTGAGCATCCATTGCTTATGCTTGTCAACAAAAGGAGACAACTTCTGCAGTAGGTAAAATAGGAAAACTATCGTTTTCAACAAATTTTTGTCATATTTCTAGAAATTTAATAGGAAAGAAAATCTGTTTCCACTCCTGAGAGGGCAAAAATTGGCTAACACAGCAATGTGAACATAAATAGACATAAGGGCAGTCACCAGTCAAATTCTCTTTCTAGTAATCTTATATGCACATAGACACATATTCTCTTGTCCTTCCACCTTTTTATGAACTCTCACCCAGGGCAAATAGCCAATAACACAATTATATGAGAAAATCGAGGGCACTATTCTATTTTCACTTCTGGTCCCTTCCCCCACACTAAGTTTTATTCTGTCTTAAATAAGTACTAATAATATAGCACTAATATTTTATATTTGCTCAATCCTCCATCCCTATTTCAAACAGCAGACACATGCAAAATTTATGAAATCACACCAAGGTATTAGAAATAATATTAGAAATAATTACTTGCAATAGGTTATTAGAAATAATAACTTGCAATAGGTTAACTAGGTTCCTTTTAATGGAATTCATTTCTGCCTAGGACTGTTATTGCTCCCTCACTTGTGACCTCAGGGAGAAGATGAAGTGAAACACATTAATTTCTCACTCTCCCATGCTGGAGGTTTATCAAAACCCTAGAAGATAGGAGCACGCAGGCAGAATAAACAAACACGAGGTTCAAAAGGTAAAAACGTTTTGTCAAGATAAAAATGAGGCAAGTATTTAAATTTAGTCTCTTGGATTATTTCTGAGACTGCTTCTCTGTGACACAGATGATCCCTTTTATGGTAATACACTCTGACAGAACTAATCTTGGATGATCTTTGCACTGGTACTCGTTCTTCCAAAGAGCATTGCAGTTAAACCACTAAGATGCTGTACTTTGGAAGGGGATGGTGCATGGCATCTATATCCCATTTGGTTGTTTTTCTCTTTATACTGTTTTTGTCTTATCTCTCTGAACACACTATTTTAGTGCTAATGAAAATTACTTATATAGCCTTTCAGTGACCATTTTAGCAATAGACTAGACTTAGCATTGCTACTTTTACTTCCAATTGTCTTAGCAGTAACCTCTGAATAAAGTCCAGTTTGGTGCAAATGAGGAAATTCTAAGACAATGAGGTACTTCACAGGCCTGACTCAGAATCTGTTAGAGTTGAAAGATTCTGTATGGATTTGCACTCCCTGTGGCAGCAAGCCAGAGACAAGACCCAGTATATCCTGAGAAATGGCTCCACAAATACAGAATGGCAGAACACAGGTCAGCTGTGGCTCAGCCGCCTGCTCTGATGGTGACAAACAATGGAGGTCTACAAATGCCATTTGCTCTTGCGCCTTTTCAGCTAGGGCTGGAGACCAACCCCATCACCTGGTGACCAGGGAGCAATCCATGACCCACAGGAGCTGCTTGGCCAGGCAGAGTAGTCAGGTGAGGGCTTGGAGGCAGAGCCATCCTGGGATCATCAGACTCAAGAATCACCTCGACTTCCCTGCTTGGCACAGGCTTGCAGCTAAGTGGGTTTGGACACACCTGGGCTTTCGGTTTCAAGACGCCCTGTCAAGTTAGGGCCACAGCGACTCCTGTGAATGTTAACATCACAAGCTAAATTGTTAATATCTGAAATATTTTCTGGAGACTGTGCTTTAGGGAGAATTAAAGAGTTTCTGATGTTTAAAAGCTTTGAAGAGTTAAATATTTTACTTGGAAACTTAAAATTAGACACTGTTAGGTTTCATAGTGGGAGTCAACAGTAGCTTCAAGAAGCACATTTATATTACAGATATTTAACTTTCATTTTGAACCCCCAAATCAGAGCCAGAATTTTCCTTAGACAGGATTACAACAGCATATTTAGGAAGAACTAGGGAGATATATGCTGGTGGAACACACTTCTCTGACTAACAATAACATTTTTGCTGTCTGTGATTTTCTCAAGATAGAGCTTTTCAATTCAACAACAGGAAACCCTTAAGCTGTCCCAGAAAAACATATAACAGAAATGTAAAAAGTGTAATATCAGTCTTGTAAAAATAAAAATAATTGTGAACATCATCAAGAATAAGTTGTTCCACAATGAAGGCAAATCTCATTCCAGCATAAGCTGTCCTTTGCTCTCATCTGCTCATCCTCCTCTCTTCCCTTCTTCCTATGTCAGGCACATAACAGAAAAATAAATCTGGGTCTGTGTAAATAATTTTGCAACAGGAATTTAAAATCATTTAAAAAGTAGTACAGAAGAGGGGAGAGTCAGGCACTAAGTATTGAAAAAAAAATCAAAGCTAGTACACAGAAATTTCAGATAAATAAATATGGAGGGTTATATTTAACAGAAAATTCAGATCTGAATAAAATTTGAATGCCTTTAAACATTTCTCTTACATATAAACTTCATTCATCCTAAAAAGAGTTAAATGTTGTTAACAGAAACAGGGCCAATATTACATTGAGTAAAGAGAGTCTCAAGGGAAGCAGAGAAAAAGGGTTTTGAAGTAACCTTGCGTAACTAAGTCCATGGGAACATTTAAAACAAAGAAGGGTAAACCTTCAATGAGATCTTGAAATTACTGGGTTGTAAATTTGAGGCCTAAGGCGATGTGCTCATATTATTAGCACATGTAAAAAGAATTAGTGCATTCTGAAGAACAGAGAAGACTCGGATAGTAGAAAGGAAAGAAGTTACAGAGAAAGACCTAAGAAACAAAGGCAAACATAAAGATTTCAGAGAGTGATAAAGTATTTATAGATACTATTAGAATCTATAATTTAACTCTCTTCATCTTGAAATTAGGAACGTGTAAGATTTTACAGTTTACATGGCTTCATGCTAAATGTAGTTTCAAATACTTTTCCATGTGCAGGATGTCTGCTATCTAAAAATAGTTCAGTGTAAGTATCTCCAAAATGGTAATTCCTTTTCCAGCTTTTGGAACAGTCTTTTCCAAATGCACACACTGAAGTTCTTCCCTTTTAGACAGCAGATCTGAAATGAAAGCAACTTTTTTTTCTTCTTCTTTCCTTTAATCTAGTCCTCTGAGAAATTGAAATTGTAAAATAATTAAGGAACAGAGGCAGTGATTTAGGGCACTGAATTGTTTATATTCTGTTTGCTTATACCCAGTAGTTATTTTTTAAATAACACATTATTAACAGCAAGTGTGACTGTGGAGGTCTGAATTTAACAGTCTCACAGCAGAAGATCCAGTACACATTAGATCGATGTCTTTGATTGCCATCACCCTGCTACAACAAAGTCCTGTTGAGAATGCACAATTCCTTTTTCTGCCCAAATAAGTAGTTCACCACTGGCCTGGTCATCATTATCTTATTATTCAGAGAAATCAAAAACTATCATGTCCATGTTAAAACTAAAGAAATTGAAAAAAAAAATAAACTCGGACTTTTCTAAAAGCCTCTGAATTATACCCCTCTTTAACATCATATCACTAGCGGGCAGGCAGATACCATTTTCAAGTTATAAAAATGAAAATAAATTTTTAGTGCCCATTAGCAGAGGAAAAATTACCATAATGTTATCAATTACTGTCTTGCTAAACATTTAGCTGATCTCTTCAGTTTGCTGAGACAGAAGGGCATATAACATTGTGGCCCAGTGAGAAAGAAGTAATGAAGCCATTAATTCAATCATTTATAAAGCAACAAATTAACTTTCCTTATTCACATGCACTTTGAGGTCTGAAAGGTTATCCATACCATCTCGGTGTCTGAGGACACAGGAACAGCCAGAGATCATATAGAAAAATGATAGAGAACCAGGGCACTCAATTCAGGGTGTAACTGCATGGAAGGAAAGAAAAGAGAGGACTATAAAAGATTTATGGAAGGAAAGACTATGAAAAGGAGCACCAGGCAAGCTTCTCAAAATCCCACCCAGCTCTGACATTTGAACACACTCCTCTGCAATGTTGTGGGCCACATGCTGGCAACTGACACCAGAGCAGAGGCATAAATATACACGTGCTTCCCACAATACCTATTTATGACATGTGATTAGCTCAAACCTTTAAGACTTGTTTCTCAATCTACTCCATTTATCAGTGATCAAGAGAAAAAATGCAGGTGATTCACTTAGACCCATCTATATCGCTGCAATAAATTGCATTGTTTCACTACCCAATGCTACACCAAATGCAGGAGAAAATGGAAGAGAAAACAGGGCAACAACACATACACTGGTCTGCAGGCATCACAACAGTTGAAGAGATGCTTGGAGTCGTTTAGGTGAGCACACACACAAACACACAGCCATTTACTGTATTTTACAGGCTTTATCTTCACTATGTACTTCTGGACTAAGCCTCACATTTTTCATCGTTCAGCTTGGAGTAAATTATTCTGAAACTCTTCCTTATAGGTCTGTGAGCTTTATACACTTCCACATTTCTTGGTTTCCCAATGCAAAAAGGAGAAAGTTAGAAGAACTAAAACTGGTTTGGAAACAGCAAATCTATACAAATAATAAAAAGGCATCCTATAGCCTCATGTTTACCACTTAGTTACATTTCCACTGATACTTAAGCATGAAAATCAAACTTTGGTCAACAAAAGACATATCACAGCAAACACAAAATAGCTTTCACAAATTATTCACCTATGGTCTGACACAATTCAAAACACTCCAAGATGGATGTAGAAATCTCTGCTGCCTCTCAGCATTACACCCCCCAACACAAAGGCACAACAGCCCATCACCCATTTAAAGTTCTGTGGGCAGCAGGACCGAGTATGTGTGGAATCCTGGTCACTCTGAAATCAGGTTCACAATTTGCACAAAGCCACCAAACACACACCTCAGTGCTGTTCCACAGTTGGTAAAAACACACTCTGAATTTCTACATGGTCCAGTTTATCTGGTGCAGCACCAGGGGTCACAGGAAAAGAAGAAGGCTCCCAGCACAACAGTGTAGCAGGGGAGGCACCACTGCTGGGCAGAACAGTGGGAGTGAAAACAGTTGCAGTGAGTAAATGCCAGACCTGCTCAGGATTGCTTCATCGCACACCTCATCCATGCTGACAATCTGCAGCTGAACAGCGTGATAAACTGCAGCACATATGCTCACAAGCATTAGGATGACAGCTCACTTTTAACAGCATACTAGCCTGCCATGACTGGTGTCCAGTTTCTACACAATGGCAGTGAGTTCCTTCTGCACTGGAAGAGGCACTTCTATATACGATGGCATCACAGGCCTGAAGACTGGCCTCTGACAAATCAAGAAAAATCTTTTTTTATTCAAAGGCAAGTTCAGGAGTGATTTAGTCATCCCATATTACAAGATTAAGTCACTACACCATGCTTAACTAGTTTTTCTGACTACAAGCACCAATCCAATGGAGGTAGGGCAGAAATTCATGCATCTAATTTGTTTGCTTCCTCCATTAATTACTGTTTGGAGTCCAACCATGCCATGCTCTCTACAACTACGTGAAAGGAGGTTGTAATGAAGTGGGAGTCAGTCTCTTCTTCCAAGTAACAAGTGATGGGACAAGAAGAAATAGCCTCAAGTTGTACCATATAAGGTTTAGATTGGATATCAGGCAATTTTTTTTCACTGAAAGAGTTGCCAAGTATTGGAACAGGCTGTGCAGGGAAGTGGTGGAGTCACCATCCCTGGAGGTACTTACTATGCATGTAAATGTGGCACTTAGGACAGAATTTCGTGGAGGGATTGTCAGTACTGCATTAAAGGTTGGACTCGATGATCTTAGAGGTCTTTCCAACCCAAATGATTCTATGACTCGATACAGTTCCAATGGACCATGTGCCCCTCCCACATCATTAGGTTATGGTTAGGAGGACCTTCCCCAAACAATCTGCAGCCTGCAAAAGCTCTAAATTCATTAGCAAAAAAACCCCTATGTAGATTCATAAACGAAAGAGATCCCATAAAATATCACAGTCAATTCCTAACACAACACCAACCTTCTGAGTGCTAGAGAATGTATTTCCATGTATCTTAACTTTCAATACAGCTATTAAAAAACTGTAACACTGACAATCAAGCTGTTGCAAAAGAAGAAAAAAAAATAAAAAGGACAAAGACCAGGTGGGCAACATGCCTGCCTTAACACAAAGACCATATGCTGGAAAGCATAAATAATCATTAGCATAGCCACAAGGAAAAGAATGTTTAAAAAAAAAAAAAAAGTCAACCCTTTTTTTTTTCTAAAAAAATAGCAAACAAAAATTAAAAAGATTTTATAATCAAGAGCAATCTTTATAAACTAGCAATATATTCTGAAACAAATTGGAATTTTTAAATTGCTAGGCAAAGTATAACTATGTATATATATATAAGTAAGCAGCACATGATCATTTTCCAGAGAAAGTAATCAATCAGTACTATGCCATATCTCCTAAAAATTTTTGAATAAAGATTTTTCATGTTTGTGAAGCCTAATCAGCACGTAAATCCCAAGGAAAGAGTCTAGAAGAAAAGGCAACATTTAGCAGATACACCAGCAAAACTCTGAAAAAAGGACATGATGGGAAACTAGCAAAATGAAAAGTGGAATTACAATTAGACTCTTTTATACCACGGAATGAAACAAACTGGATCAAATTATGTTAGTGTTTGAATAAAAAAAGCTGACATAGTAACTACCTGAAGTAATCTAGAAAATAAAAAACAAACAAAGAGAAAAAAAAAAAAACTTCAAAAGTTTGCCCTGGAATTTTTTGGGAGGGAGGGAGGCTGTTGGAGGGGGAAGACATTATTGTACTTTTAAAATTTACCCAGATTTATTTATGTATCATTTAGTTTACCCTTAAACATCAAATGCACATAGCACACAATTTAAGTATGTTTTATTTGACCGTCAATTTCAAAAATTCGAAGTAATATTGCAACATCTATGCTAGATTCTTTCCAAAGTAGCCATTTAAATTTAAAAGTCACCTTTAGAAGTTTGCTTCATTTCCATGGCTGGCTTTAGTTAAATATGTTACTTAATTTCTAGCTTTTCCAGAACATAAACTATTTTAAAAGAAACTAAGTACTCCACCGTGCAGCTTTTAGATTAATATTTTCCTAGATAGAACCATCTCTAAGGAACTCGGAAGATATAATTACTAGAGGATGTTTTCAAATTAATATTCTATTTGGAGAAAAATAGTGTTTTCTATCTAGTAAAACAGTTGAGTATCAGCATACTATCAAACTGAACATCCAGCTGTTATTAGCAAACATAGTAGCTTTACAAGAAACTTAATTTTTTTCCTCAGTTTCCTTGCTTTAGAAAACATATATGCCACTTACAGGTTCTGAGGAATATTTACACATTTTAAAAATTCACAGCACTGTCCAAGAACTGTTTAAAAGAAAAAAAACTTCCTTTAAAAACTTTCATTCCGTTCCTTAAAATTACCTTTAAGTCACAGTTTCCAACTCCAATGAAATTTTCATATTCTTTTGTGCATTAAAACATCATTGCTTTCATAATTGTTGTAAGTACCTTTGTCGCTTCCGTAGTAATAGAAAACCGTCTTGCTGATAGCACACCAACGCTTCTGCCATTCAAAGCCAAGAAAACTGTGGTCTGAAATTAACAGAACACGTGTGGTATTGGTTTATGCCATTACTGAACAAAAAATGTGTTACTTCTTTTCAAGGGTGAGGTAACGGGGAGGAGGAGCTAAGAAAAGACACTAAGGAAAGGAAACTAAGGAAATGCATGGCACTGAGAAGGAAATTAGAAATAAAAATTGGTGGTAAGAAAGCAAATAAGAATTTGAAATCAAATAAAGAGGGAAGTCATGTGTAACATTAAATGTAAGGAAATAATGAACAACTTCCTAAATATTTCCTAGAGTTATTGCAGCATTAAGTGGGTATTAAAGTGACAATATAAGATTTATTGAATCAAGGTAAATATTGACTGAACCAAAGCTGAGATCAATATTTGCCCTCTTGAAGGAAAATAAATCTTGATGCTCACTGAAACATGAAGTCAACATATGGTACTTGTACATATGTTCCTAATGTTTTCTTCAAAAATGTCTGAAAGTCTCTGAATTACAGCTGACTGGACTTTCACACTTCTTTTGCATAATAATCCTTCAATGTTTCAGCTTCTTCTCATTTTATTTATCACTCCTGTATAACGTTGTTCATGTGTATAAAATCAAATACAGACATATAGACTTCCCAAACATTAAATATCCACTAGCTTTCACAAGGATAGCTAGACATACCTTTTCTACGTTTTTCCAGGTATCCAGCCTTCAGAACAAACTGAAGATCCTGAGCTGCAACAGGAGGAAACTGATTCCCTGAAAGAAAAACAAATTCTGTAAAGCACTGCTTTTCAAGAAAACTGCTATAGGAGCATTAATAAAATTATGGAATTTACACTCTTAATATGCAAGAGCTACTGAAAAAAAATCTAGTAACTATTATGCCAGATTATTTTAAGTAAATAAAACATCACCTATCAATGTTAGAGCTGTTGCTGTTTTCCTCACCACTTGAGTAAGGAAAAATATAACAGGCCTTGCAAGTCTCAAAAGGAAAAATATGTCATTAAAAATAATACAGCAACGTTTCGAACATAGTCTGTTAAGCAAGTTAGAAAATGAAAGTGATAAGTTTTCAAATGTGCAAATAAGACAATCATAATCAAGAATCTCAACTGAACACAATTAAACCAGAAATGTAATTTTCGATACCAGCTTCACACCAAAATACCTTGAAATAGCATACAAGGTGAAGACCCTCTATGACATATCTACAAAAAGAGACACTAGATGAAGAGACAATAAAAGGTGCTGCCTGTTCCTGACATATTTTGCCTAATTTGAAATATGACACAAAACTACTGCCTATAGAATCTGTAAAGTGATAATGGATAAACCAAAGACATTGTACAGAGATCTACAAAACTGTTGACCTACAGACACTAATTTTAGACACATTGTACAATATAGCTGCATCAGCAAAATGTTGAGCATAGCTCACTGTATTTTTTTTTCTCAAGTACTAATTTCATAGAAGTGTAAGACTGACCAGTCTTACTGCCTCATCTTAAAATAAAACTTTAAATGTTAAAAATTTTGTCTTCCATGTTACAACCTTTTCCTCCTAATACAACAGAATGGTGATTTAAACAGAATTCCTAGTATTAAGAACAAGAATATGTTAGATGCATACAATATTTAATATTAATATAAATATTATTCTGCTTACCCTGAGCCAAAAAGCATAGCAAAAGGTACTCCTGTGCTGCTGGGTTTTTTAAGTGCATGTAAGCAACACAGTGAAGTTCCTACTACTTATTATCATCAAATATTCATAAGAGTCACTGTAGGTAGGTGACAAGTTTACAAGGCAGCCATTATTCATCAGAATATATGTAATCTCATTACGTTCTATCAATATAAAAATACAGAAAAGGACTGGTATTAGCAGACAAATTCTGTGCTAAAAACACCATTTTAAATTATGTAGTCTGGGCAGAAGATCAATGGTCTGACCTTGAACCAAGCACTGTCGCTGAAAGGTGATGTCAATTTCCTGGGTTTTTAGGTTCTTCCTTAAAATAATTTTTTTTTTAATTCAGTGATCACAAATGAGTCGCTTTATGGTAGTCTTATTTAAATACAGTTATGACAGGAAAAAGACAAGAAAGAGATAGGAACGTGCAGAGAATGCCGGTTTTTAAAGCACGAAAGCACTCAAAATGAGAAGACATTCTTTAAATAATACAGTCAGCTCTTTAGACTGTAAAATCTTTTGTCTGACACCAATAGACAGTAGAGAGAATTTTACTTGCATTGATATTTTCACTTATTTTTTTAAATTAATATTACTTTTTAAAGATTAGGAGTGCACTAATTTCTATTTTGGCTTCTATGTAATTCTGACTATTACGTTAAAAATACAAGAGCCCAATAAACATGCATTTTAAAGAGACGGAACTCTCCTCCCTTTGCTTGGTAATATGCAATCATAGCCCAACATTAAATGGGAATTAAACACAAAGACACTTGATGGCTGGTATGTGATATCTTTAACTCTTAAAGGTGATGTAATGATGGTATTACGAGTGGGGGAAGTGAAGAGTTTCACAAATATGTATCATGTGCTGCTTTATGTTGGTCATTGGGAGGCATCAGTGTGCAACACTTACAACTCTACTTCATCCACAAGGGCTCATCCTAAAACAGTGCAAGCCCCCAGAGAAGGAAGACATAAAACCTAAGTAGACAAACAAACAAAAGCAACTCACTCTAAAATTTTACAATTTAAGAATTTCAACCTCCATTTAGAACTTCACCCAACATTGTTTGTATCAGTTTGGGTTTTGATGAGGAAGCTTGGCCAGTGTTCATTTAGTGAACAGTCATATCAAATGTCAAGTCAAAACACAGTCCCAGAGAAGCACATACTTTGGGGACTCCTTAATGTTGTTATTCCATCATCTGAACTGACTACGTCATAGAATCAAAATTCCACTCTCCATTTTGGTACTTCTGCTGAGACACGACAGGAAAAATTTGGTGATGGTATTTTCTGAAACTACATTTATTTGGCACAGGGCACTGAAAGCTTGTGAGGAAAAGAACATGCATGGAAAAAGAGTCTTTCACTGTCTGGTGCCACTGCTAAAAGAAGTCCTCCTTCCACCCTTAACCTGTAGAGAAGCCAGTTTCTTCTTCTATTCCTCAAAGCAACTGAGACAGTAACTCCAAAAAACAAACTGCAGCTGGTCAGCCCCACTGCCACTCACAATCTGTAAGTAGCTGAAGCAGAAACAGATCATATGCATGTTATTATCCTTCTGTCAGAGAAGCCTGGGAACCAAAAAAATATGATGGAACTTTAGTCGAAGGGCAGTAGAAACAGACCCAATTGTAATATCCCACGACACATACAGCTGTACAAGAAAGAAAAAGCATAAATCTGGTTAAATTCCTTCTTTCATTGCCCTGTACCTTCAGAAGGAAGGGGAGGGAGAATAAGTAGTATGAAAAGCATAAAGGAAAGAGAAAGAACCACCTCCTCCCAGAGTCTCATGAACCACAGGTGTTGTGCATATGTGGCAGGAAGAAGGCACAAACATGGATATACCATTGTCTCTGTACTACAACAAAAACAACAGGGAGAGGAAAGAGGAGAGAGTCAGTCACATCTTCCTTACAGTTATTGCTGAGATTCTGCATGGGAAACTTCTAAGTTGTATTATCTGTCTTCCATTTTTTTTGTTTCTTTACTGTCTTGTCCACATCTCAAACAGGATTTAGAGTGAACTGCAACCACTACATGTGGGAACTCCCAGCAGAAAATGTGGAATTTACATAGTAAGTTAGTTTTTGCAGTTGCTTTCAATCAGAATATTGCTTCCTCATTCATTTGAAATATATCAGACTTGACACAAATCTCATAAAAAAGTATCACTAAAGCAGTACTTCGTTACAGTAAAGCAGCATTTGCTTACATTGCACCAGCAGCTGAGATCAGAGGTTCATTAGTTGACTGCAGCATGAGACTGAATAAGACAGCTCCTTCTATCAAGAATCTAAGACAGAGGAATTCTGTATTTTAAGTAAAGAACCATAAAGGAAATTAAGCCACATGCTTCAAATCACATACTCTTTTAGAGCTCAGAATTTCCCATGTTATACTCTCATGCATGCCCCAGGATGTCTTCACGACAAGGAGAATTTTTCTCCTTCCCTCATGGATGCAGGTGAAATGGCCTGAATTCCAATTACCTGTAATTTCACTGGAGATTGTCCACTGTAAGAAATTAAATGTGGGGATGCAAGAAGCTTGCATCCTGGGGATGCAGATAGCACCTACTGGTACTACCTTTCTCTGAGTGTGTCTCAATGCCTGTTCATGAGAAACTTATGGTCAAGCCCACTACAAAATCAGAGCAAAACTTCTCTCTCAAAATGAGACCACCAGAGATTACCATGTCTTCCTAGCACTGTATGGTCTGTTTCCAGATATGATTCAATTATTTAGAAATAAAGCTGTTAAAAGGATTGTAGTCTTCCCTGGTTTCTCCTTTGGTACACTGTAGTTTTTTAAGCCAATTTTAAACACCCAAGAGAAAAGTGGCATTGTAAGAAATGCTCTGTGGCTTGCAGTTGTGTGGGTTTATACACAGAGAAAGGCACAATGATTACTTCTATTTAATCCTCCAGACCAAATTTCTGCTGTGTCATTGTCCTGACAGTGTGGGCAAGCACAGATTTGAGGATATAAAAAGGTCTCATTTCCATTCCAGAGCTTCTACCTCACAAATAACGTTTTGAATTTTATTCTTTTGATGTGAAGACCAGTTCAAAACTATCCAATATTTAGGGAGATGATAATCTTGCATACCCAATACATGGTATAACTTAAGGAAGGTCCATCTGCTTAACGTTACAGGTTTTCCTTCATTCTTGACCACCCACTCACTAAAGAATCTCCCACAATAACTTCTCTTCCTATCTCATCCCTGTTGGTGAGAATTACTCCAATGTGCTCCAAAATAAAATCTGCAAGTTATACTCCACATGCATATTTTCAGACTGGTGTGTACAAAAGCCATCAAAGACCAGATCAAAATATTTATAAGACCTAAACCTTCATCTTAGAGAAAAGTAAATTATATGTATGATGCACTGGGCTCTTCCTCTTGGTTCTAGGCACTCTTGTGCCAAGTGAGCAGCTGGCAGTTATTATAATACTATTGCTGCCAGGCTGAAAATTCCTCCAGTGAAAAGAAAGTGAAATGCTCTCACTCAAGCATAAAACCAGCTTTACCAGGCAGGCTTTGACTTCAGAAAAACATTAATGTTATTAACATAGGTGTATTAATGTACAGGTTCCACTGCACAACTCCCACAAACACACAACATCCTGTGATTCAGAAAGATCTCAAAACCACAGCTTATGGCACGACTACAATTTTTGCAACTTGGTAATCAAACAGGCAAAAGCCTGAATGATTTAATTTTTCACCTTACTGCAACAGTGAATTTGGTCCATTACATAAAAACAAGTTTCATCAGTGTCACTTCACAGCATGAAATTCAATCCTTGTGCCTGGAATTTTGATTTTTGGAGGATCTAAAGACGTAAAGATTTCATGCTGTATACAAAATAAATAAAACAAAACCAGACTGTATTATTCTGCACTGTTTACCAATAGGATTTTTTTTTTACTTCTGCAATGTGGGCTAAGGGATACATAAAGCAAGAAATAATCAGAGGTCAGTGCATTCTAAAGAGGTGCTTAGCATGCTTATGGGAAGTTAAACAGGCAAAATGGAGATAA